AGGAGCAATGTTAACACCGGAGCCAGGGTCGGCAGCCCATAGTCCCTTGGGGGGAGGGTTCACCCATCCTAGCCCAGCCGAGACTAACATCTCCCAGGCTCTACCCCCCAGCCTGGGGACAGTCTCTGCCTCCCTCCCTTTGTCTCTCCCCGGGGAAGAGCCTTGTTCTCTGCTCAGGCTGAGACTTGAATGTCTATGGCTAATACAGATGTGGGGTGAGCCAGTGGGAACCCGCCTCCCAGCACAGCCGGGCGGGGACAGTGGGGTATGTCTACACTGGCGCTTCTTGCACAAGAACACGTCCACACTGCCATGTGGGAGCTGTGCTTTTGTGCCAGAGCGCCCATGGCAGTGTGGATGCTTTCTTGCGCAAGAAACCCCTGCCTCGCGGCCACACTGCCCTCTTGTGCAAGAGCTCCTGCGCTAGAGGGCTTACACCTGTTAGAAAAGAGCACAGCGCTTGTGCAAGAAGCCCTCTCTTCCCACGCTGTACTGTAAGTTTCCTTGCACAAGAGCAGGCTGGCTGTGGATGCTCTGCGGACTGTACTTGCACAAGAAGCCGCGGGTGTAGACATAGCCCGGGGGTATGTCTAGACCACATGCCTCTGCGACAGAGGGGTGTAAATGAGACATACCGACATAGTCAATGAAGCAGGGATTCAAATATCCCACGCTTCATTCGAATAAAAATGGCGGCCGCGTTTTGCTGACTCAGCAGTTTGTCGGCAAAAAGCGGCAGTCAAGATGAGGATGGGTCGACAAGGAAAGCCTTTGTCGGCCAGTCCTGTGAGCCTCGTTGCACATTGCAGAGGGATGTAGTCTACACATACCCGGGGTTACAAGGCACACAGCCCCCGCGACGCCACATCTCTCCTCGCTCCGAGAGCGAACCCAGCGGGGGAGTTTGGGTCCCCTTCCACGTAAGACATCGGCTGTGACATTGGCTCCTTGCAGCTAGTTCTTCTGCACAGTGAAAAGACCCAGGCCCTGGCCCCCTGCGTACAGGTGCGGACCAGTGTACTGTGGTCATACCAGCCCTTGGGATCTGCCCAGGGGCTCTCTGGCCAGACCTGTGAGCTCAGCGAGCCTTTCCCAGAAAGCCAGGATGTCCCCCACCCCCGACGCTCCATTGGGGGGGGTCTCCCCCTTTCTCAGAATCCCCAGGGGGCCCTTCCCCCTTCTGCACCAGGCCTCAGTCAGGAGGAACCTGGCAGGCCCTTGGCGCACCTCCCTGTGTGCAGACAGCAGGTGGGGCAGGAACTCATCCCAGTCCTGCAGGTGCTGGTGCATAAAAGCCTCCAGCATCTCCTACAGGATCTCCTGCAGTTAGGTCAGCTGCACGGGGCCCACAGAGTTACCCAGCGAGCGGCAGCCCTGGACTCCGTTCCACAGGGACTTGCCCATCGCTGCCCAGGTCTCACGCCCCTTTTCACTTTCTCTTTCTGGGAAATTAATCTTAAGCAAACACGGCATCTAGGTCTGTGACGAGCTGGCCAGTGAGAAAACGGCTCAGGTCCCAGCCCCGCCTCTCTCACGGGCTATAGACAGGGACCTGACTGGGAGACCCGGACACCAGACCCTGCAGGAGATCCCTCTGCCACCCACACGCGGCTTCCACTCCCAGTAACAATGGGGGGAATCGGCGTCTCTCTGTCCATTGTCCTGGCTCTGGTGACCCTCAGTTCTAGTGATGCTGGTTCTGGTGACCCTCAAAAGACAAAGGTACTAGTCAAGATGAGTGGCTGGCAGGCCCAGCACTGGTCTGGGGCCGGATGAGGGGCTGAGGGGCTCTGTGCTGGCTCTGGGGCAGGGTGAGGGGCTGAAGGGGCTGGGTGCTGGCTCTGGGGCAGGATTGGGTGTTGGGGGGCTGGATTCTGGCTCTCGGGCAGAGCGAGGGGCTGAGGAGGCTGGGCTCTGGCTCTAGGGCAGAGCTGGGTCTGAGAGAAATGAGTTCTGATGGAGGGGATCTAGTGACTGGGAGTTCTAGGAACCTCATTAGCCGAGTTACATGGGGTGGAGTTAGAGAAACAGAAGACTGTGGTTTGAGCCAGGGAGGAAAAGGTGGCACTGGAGTTCATGTAGCAAGCATTGCTGGAGTTCCACAGAATTATGGGAAGGTGGATGTCCAAAAGATCCCCTCTCCATTATTAAAAGAAGATACACACTGCACAAGTGCATCAAAACTCCACCACAGGACCCGTGTGTGTGCAAATAGTCCTTAAACAGAAACAGGAATATCATAAGAATGTAACTGCCTCTGCAGCATTCACCTTCATGAAATTCTCATGACGATGCACGTAATCATCTCCTCATATCTCTCGACTGCAGTGCTAAAAACCAGGATCTGTTGAGTATACGAGTGCCACTTTACAAAGACACCCCAAAGAAATGTACATTGCAAAAGTTTGGGATAAAGTTTCTATGAAATTAATTTGTATGTACAAGATTATGCAACGGAATATACTATACATGAGGAAAAAAGGCAGATTTCTGATGTTTCCATCAGAAAATGATATCTACATTAAAAGTACAATGTGCTGTACCAGTCACCGTTTAATAGGGCCCCCTGTGTCTATTGGACAATTAGTTCTCCTTCTGTATTATTAATGCAGACCATTATGTAATGGCTCATGACCCATAATAACTAGCTGCAGCGTTGGCTAAAACTTCTCTGAATAACCTCCATTTACTTTAGGACTTCTAACTACACGACCAATAATTATGTTGCACCATAGCTAATAAAATGTATGGCAGACTAAATTAGTGTCTTATTTGAATTACATGGAATTAATCTACTAATTCCTGCAATACACAGTATAGAAAGGGGTGGGCTCTTCACTGGTAAAAAAGGTCTTTATAAAAATATAGGATTTTAGAGATATTTTCCCCTTGTGCTTTGGCATTTAAAGATATTCAAGATGACAGCCATTGTTGGGCTGTGTTCTGGGTTTTTTAAATACCTCTAATTAGAACCTACAAATCTTTTCTGCAGATCTGTAAATGAGTGGGAGAAGGTTACTTTGCTGGTACACTGTCAAACTTTTTGCATGGGGAGGTTATACCTAGAGCACAGTTTGGGTAACACTGTGCCAGAGGGAATCCAGAGAAGATAAACAAAAAGGTTTAAGAGGTTGGAAAGGTTAATACAAGGAAACAATGAGAGTTTATATAACAACTTAGCTAAACACTGTTAGGGTTTATTCCTTCAGTCTTTAAAGTTTTGCTAAAGGACTTCAGAATCAGACTCTAAAAAGGGATACACTGCACATCTATTTGAAAACATGTAAACACCAAGGAGGAAGGGAAAGGTTGGCACCAGATAATATTAATAGGGAGTAATGTACTGAAATGAAACAAAGAGGATGTTCAGACAAACTAACTGGTGACAAGAGTTCCTTTAGGTTAGCAGTTCTCAAACTTTTTGGGCTCCAGAGCCCTTTACATGCGTAAAAAACTATTCGGAGGCCCAGAAGTCTACTGATTGTATGTGTTATACCTATCGATGTTTCCAGTTTGTCAACCTCGCGAAGCCCCTGGAGATGTCTCGCAGAGCCCTGGGGCTCCGCAGAGCACAGTTTGAGAAACATTGTTTTAGGCAGTGGAATAATCTACCGAAGGAAGTGAGGGAAGACCATACCTTGGGAAACTTCAAACTAGAAAATATTCCAAAGGGAACAAATCTGTACTGGCAGGTAGACCTACGTGACTTACTAGGCCCTTGTGTATTTTCAGTTTATAGGATAAAACAAGACTTTCAAGTGCAGTTTGATTACGATGACTTTGTATAGAACACGGTCATCTTCAATGAGCTTTATCGTTGCTACCTGAAAGAGGACCAATGAGACGTATAGTAAAAGAGGCCCAGGTTCTCACTAACCTAGAGCCTAATGCAGGAGCAGCCAACAAATTCGATCTAAAAAGGAACTGTCTCTTACTCTCTCTTCTCACCACCGATTTTATGTATGCCTCAACTCTTCAAGTATCAGAGGGGTAGCCGTGTTAGTCTGAATTTGCAAAAGCAGCGAGGAATCCTGTGGCACCTTATAGATTAACCGCAGTGTTGGAGCATAAGCTTGCGTGGGCAAAGACCCACTTTGTCAGATGCATGTACAAATGCCCACGAAAAGTTTATGCTCCAACACTTCGGTTAGTCTATAAGGTGCCACAGGACCCCTCTCAACTCTTCAAGAATAATAAGGAACATGCCCTGAACATCTTTCCATTCTTATAGTGCTTCATATCGTGATATCTGCTGAGCTTGAATGGCAAATGTTAACTGTCATTCATGACCTACGGAATACTGCTAGTATTTGCATCCCTTAAAATGTAAAACAAAAACAAAAAATACAAACTCCTCCCCCCCCAAAAAAGCCCATTAACCTTTTGTTTTATTGAATTAAAATGCCATGGAAATGCTGATGTAGCCTTCAGAGACTGAAATACTTTTACAAAGAAGAATAGCTGTCATTTATTAGACACAAAGAACAATTACTTGATAGGATGCTTTCTGACAAAAAGCAGATTGGTATTCTCATCATAGAAAAGGCATTGTAAAAAAAAAAAAAAAAAAAAAAAAAAAAAAAAAAAAAATCCCAGCACAGACCTCTGAGACTTGAATAATTTAAAGCTGTATTTGGTGCAATTTGAATTTTTCTTTAGGGAGGCAAAGTTAAATACCTTTAATTTGTTCTAATTATTTCAAATTTGCAAGTTAATTATGGCTGATCATTAAATAACAAAAAGGACTATCGTCTCCGTAGAGTTTTACCTCCTACCCTCTGCATTACTTAAGCTAGATTTTAGTATGCATGAATTAACTTTCTAAATAATCACACGGTTTGACTAAATGGCTCAGTAAAATGAGCTCTGATCCTCAGAATAAGCATTAATGGACATTAGAAAGGCTACTGGGACCCATGCTACTTACATTATAAGTATTTTTAATGGGGTCTTATTTACTAATCTTTATGTACTGTTCAAGTTAGGGCACCATATAGATACATTATTCTGCTTTAATAGAGGAAAGTCACTTCTTTAAGATACTAAATTAAATGTCCATGTAGAGCCAACTAAATTCATTTTTAAATAAATGCGAGGAAACTATGATAGAATTTTTTCTTGCTTTAGTTGCTCATGCTGATGAATCAATATAACAAAGGAAGCCTTGCTCTCCAAATGGAATCTTACAGATCTGACGATGTGCTAAGCTACTCAAGCAGCAAAGCAGCTCTGGTCCAAGCAGCAGAGTAGCACTAACTATAAACCTTTTGGGTAAAAGCAGGCTGAATCTGTTCCATAGCCAGCGTTCAACTGACTGGTTCCCAGCCATCAATTCTGGAATTTCACTTTCTACTTATCTCTTATCTGTAGCACATTTTCTACTGTAGGTCGGCAGTAGCCAGAGACCACAAAACTACACCAGGACCCGTTGGAAACCCACAATATCTTTTTTCACCAGATGTCTATTTTAATGTCACCCTGTTGAGCCCAGAGCCGGGGAGTTTAACTATCAGTAATGTTAACTGATTGCATTGGTGGGTTGTTCCAAAAGCAAATTTTTGCTCTGAATTGTTTTTCCACTCTGCAATTTCTATTTTTTAAAAACCCACAACTTCACTAATGGTGCATGGGCTGCAATTTGCTGCAAGTACAATCAGGCCAAGAATGTGTAACATTGCATGGTGCAAGTCTTGTGATCAGCAAGCAACACAAGCCAGACATATTTGATGTTGGAATCCCCCTCACCATTGCAAATCTCAGGTGTACAACTTTGGAGATGGATTTGGCTCGAAGTAACTTGTAGAAGTCTGTTGTGAATCAAGGAATTAAGTCCAATTCTCAAGTAATAGGCTATGTTTACACTTACAATTGATTGACAAAACTTTTGTCTTTCATGGGTGCTTCACGCTCCCCTTCCCCCTGCAACAATAGAAGGTTTGCCACATGGTAGGCGTAAGGGTGAACGCTACTTTGGCAGCAGAAGCGTTCTCCTGCCAACAATGCAAAAGCTGCTCTGGGAACTAGAAGTATTTTGTCAGCAACAGTGATGACAAGCAGCGCTCACACGTGATGACTTAACGACAGGGTTGTGTTGACACACCCTTGTCTCTAAAAGCTGTCTAAGTGCAAACATGCCCTTAGACCAGTGTTCACTGTAAGCCGTGCACTTTGGTGGCCACCCAGGAGAGACTCAAATCCCACCCACCAGCTGATTAGCAGAGCACCCACAGCTGGCAATATGTGTTTCTACTGGTAGTGCACATCTTCATGAGTCTTGGTGCACATAACAAAATTTATTCTACAGAGGGACAGAACAAATTAGAAGGAACATTGCCTTAGACTAGTGTCTCAACCATTCAACAATCTGACCTTTCACATGCTGTTAGCTCATGTCTATTAATTCTGTCCAGGATATAGCACCGCAGGCCCAGAGGCCTCGCCAGGCCCCCTGCCCCAATGTCTCTGGTCTGGGGGCCTGTGACGTAGTGGGGGTATCTGGCTGGTTTCTATGCTGCTGGCTCTGGGGTAACCCCCACTGGCTGCCGTGGGTACCACGACCCAGCAAAACAGGATGAGTCACTATGCAAACCAGTATGGCCAGACACCCCCCATGGAGAGGAACAAAGGATGTGACCAGATTCCATCTGTGCTGTGCTGTATCCTGGAGAGGCAATAAACTTCCTCTATTCCACCGGCTGGGGCAGTCTGGTTTTGGGGGTTTTGGGGGCATCTCAAGGGGGCCTGAGGCACCCTAGCCCAGCTCTGTGACCAGATTCCATCTGTGCTGTGCTGTATCCTGGAGAGGGAATAAACTTCCTCTATTCCCCCGGCTGGTGCAGTCTGTTTGTGCCATTTCGGGGTGCAGGAGACGGGGGACCCCCAACGCGCCATCACAGGGCCAATTCCCATTCTGACGTCTCTGGGCGTCTCTGCTTCCCGCCCTGTGAGGTCGGACTCCGGCTCCTCCTGTCCGCTCAGGCTGCCTGGCGCGGGAGCGGGCGGGGACCCAGGCCTGGGTGTCAGTAACGGCGCACGTGCCCCACGGCGAGACCAGGGGCTCTGCAAAGTCCCCCCCACACACCGGGCACAGGGCACCTGCCAGCCAGCTGGTGCCAGACAAGGCCAGGGCTGACGCCCGCAGCTCCCCGGGGTTCCAGGACCCAGGCCAGGCCCGTTGGCTCTGTTGGGGTCCTGGGGCCCCGGCCTCACGCCGTGCGTGGGAACACGTCTGCTCCCCTTTCAGTGTGACCTGTCCGGCCTGTGGCGGAACGAGCTGGGCTCGCTGATGGAGATACATGACGTTAACGAGGCGGGAGAATTCTCCGGCGAGTACCTCACAGCCGTGACGGCCACCAGCAACTGTATCCAGAACTCGCCCCTGAAGGGAGCCCAGCATCATACAAAGGCAGAGACGTCTCCGGTCTTCGGCTTCACTGTGAACTGGGAGTTCTCAAGTACGTGCCGTGCGCCGCGCTGGGCTGGGGGTTCCCGTCGGCGTGAGCGGGGCACGCGGAGCGATGGTTTCTTTTCTTGTCGGGACAGAAATCCTGGTGGGGAGGGTGTGGCTGGCTGCAGCCAGTGGGTTGAGGGGTAAAATCGCCTGCACACGGCCTGGCGCGCCCCTCACTGGTGCCTGTGCCCGGGTCCGCTCGCCCCCTTTCCGAGGGGCAGTAGCATCTTGGCAGGGCTCAGCAAACAGCCACAAGGAAGGTCCCAGCCCCAGGAACGCAGCCTCTCAGGCAGGGCGGGAGCAGCTCAGAGGGGGGCAGTGTTCGCCCATGGGCTCCGTATGCGTTTGCCTGTGGTCTCTGGGCACCTTCGCTCAAGGGCTCTGGGTGCTCTTGAGAGTGGGCTCTGTGTGTGTTCACTTATGGGCTCTGTGTGTGTTCGCTTATGGGCTCTGTGTGTGTTCGCTTATGGGCTCCAGGTATGTACATGTGGGTATGTCTACACTACAAAGTTAGCTCGAACTAACTTTCCTAGGCGCTACACTAGCGCTCCGCTAGTTCGAACTTAATTTGAACTAGTGGAGCGCTTAGTTCGAACTAGGAAAACCTCATTTTACGAGGATTAAGCCTAGTTCGAACTAGCTAGTTCGAATTAAGGGCTGTGTAGCCCCTTAATTCGAACTAGTGGGAAGAGTGCTTAAATAGAGGTTCGGGTGTGAGCTTAGTCAGTGTAGTGTTTGTGTGAGTGTGGTGGGTTCTATTTTTGGGTTTTTTATGCCTGTGGAGAATTCCTGGGTGAAAACCATTTAGATCCCATTGGATTATTACTGGAGAGCGGAAGGCCTTCGATTTATAGTCCATATCCCATCCATCATCAAACCAGAGGGTCTGATTCTGAAGTGACATCGAGGAATCCCCTCACTGTTCCTCTGCCACGGCTTGCAACTAGCCAAGGCATAGAGGTTGTGAGCGCCTCAGCTGTTCTAGGCCACGTGAATGTAATGTATAGTCCTATTGTTTAGGGGTCTTTACTATTTACTTTGTCTTCAGGGATAGGGAGGATTATAGAGTTATTGTGACATGCTGTTCTATATCTTAAATTTATAATATATGGTTTGGCCCCAAATTGTGACTCAGAGTTTTATTTGGAAAACTACGTGCCGGTGATAGATACGGCCATGAGTAATCGGCCTCAGGAGATCTCTTCTTCTGGGACTTGGGATATTTACCATCTCCATTACAAGTCAGGGCACGTCCAATTAGGTTTTAAATTAATCGTTACTGTGTCCCAGGGTAACAGGATGAGGCTGAGTCAAGGACCCTGTGACCACCTGATACCTGGCAACACGTGTCAGCCTCAATAAGTGTGAGAGCAAGCAAGCAAGCAAGCAGACAGGCATACTAGTTTGTTGTTGGCCAGGCGCCTGTTGTATGCAGTGTAGCTGTGAAGCATTTATGTAGCTGGGAACCGGTGGTGGGAAAGAGCCCAGGTGTTGCACCAGATTGAAGTGTCCCTGACTCACTGAAAGGGTGGTCAAGGTGCTGAACGAGGGGTGCAGTGTGATCCCCTTTGCACCCACATCTATGTATCAGGTTCTTAGAGTTTGCTGGCTTGAAAGTCTGCCTGGGTGCCCAGCTTGGATGGGTCAATGGGTTTGCTCAGCACTTGGCTTGTAGCCCAGTTATGGCAGAGCTGAGAGGCAGGGGTGAAAACACGACAGGGATCAGGCAGGTGCATTTTATATTCTTTTGCCATGAGACTTGCACTTCCTTTGTCCCAAACACAAGCCTCACATCACATGTCCCTACGTGGCTTGCTGACTCAGCAGGTGTACTAGTGGGGGCAGGGGAATGAGGAGGCGTGGGTGTGATGGACCGGGCCAGGTCTGGGCACCACTGAGGGTCTCCGCTCAGGGCAAATTGCTCAAACTCAGGGCTCCTTACAGCCCCTGACTGGAGGCTATTCCCAAAGGGCCACAAACCAGTCACATGGGGCGCTTCAGCTGCCAATCCGGCCACCAGGAAGCCTCACGAGCAAAACCCCTCGGACATCCCAGCTCTCCCAGTGCCATAGTCAGCCCCGGGCCTAACACAGGTGAGGGGTTACAGAACCCATCGCACCTACCCCGAACAGGTTCTTCAGGTCCCAAGAAACCAGCCACAGATCCCAGGTCAATTTACCCTCTGGATCTTACCCACAAGGTCACACTGGGCCAGTCCTTTAGAATCTACCATCTAAAGGTTCATTACTACAAGAAAGAAAAGCCTGAGAGTGAGGTTGTTAAAGTATCCTCCGTTACATGCAGCGAATCTCCCAGTCCTCGATGCAGGCTCTAGCAGAGATGTTACAGCTGCTGGCTTAAAAGTCTCTGGTTACATCCTATGTCAGGACGGGTCCACAGTTCTTCCTGGCTCGTTGTTACCTGCAAGGCTGCTTCTGGGGTCAGGAGCTGAATTCAAGACCAATGGAGGGTGCCTGGGAACATGCCCTCCCAGGCAACACTGCTGTCACCGGCACACAGTACCCTGCACCCCCGGATCCCTGGGGCCACATGGAGTGTCCCTCCTTCTGACTCCTGCCTGCTCCCTCGCAGACTCCACCACCGTCTTCGTGGGCCAGTGCTTCGTGGATGAGAAAAGGAAGGAAATTCTGAAGGTTACATGGCTGCTGCGTGAGAAGGTCGGGTCCCCAGGAGACAGCTGGGGGGCCACCAGGTGGGTGCTGGGCACAGCCTGGCTGGGAGCCAAGGTGCTGCCTATGGAGCGGGACGGCAGGGCCTGGCCCCGTCACACCCCAGAGCGGTGTCGAATCCCCCAGCGGGTTAGGCTGGGACTAGGCCCACGTCTGCCCACAGCTCTTCTCCCCTAGGGTCGGGGGTAGGAGGAGGAAGCGTGGGGAGCCGGGTCAGAGCGCAGGGACCCGGAAGAGGGCTCTTTCATGTGAGGAGGGCTTTAAACTAGGTT